CTGGAAGGGGCTGCCCAGGGAAGGGGTCGAGTCCCCAGCCCTGGGGGGATTTAACAGCTGGGCAGAGGCAGTGCTTAGGTTTTAGTGGTGGGCAGGTACGGTTGGGCTCAATGATCATAAAGGTCTTTTCCAACCAAATGATTCTGTGATGCCCCACCCTGGTACCAACTGTCCAATTAATCAACCACCGCACTTTTCACGCACTTGATGCAAACCACTGCTACAAATGAAAACTCTTTGAGGCAAAATGCAGATGGAACCCCTTCAGATCTCCACAGAGCTCATCGTCCAAATTCCTCCTGTGCTATCCCCAAGTTGATCCCTTTTTTTCTGGGCCACAGCTTTACGTCCCTGCACTCCAGCAGCACACCAAGCTGCTGGAAGTCAACCCCTGCAGCACCAGACCAAGGCAAGTGCAGCACCACCACCCCCAGGGCGCAGCTCGGCCTCTCTCACACAAGGGCGAGGAGGCTGGCCGTCCATCTCGCTAATGAGCAATTAGCCCTGTCCTGAAAAACCACCAGCCCGCAAGGTCTCTAGACCGAAGTCAGCGCAGGCCACCACAGATGGAGTTTAAAGCCAGGGTCTTAAAAAGAAATCACTTGACAGCTTGCTCCTGTCCAGGCTGCTCTGGGAGATACTAAAAAGCGGGTAAGAAAAGCAGAGGGGGCTCTTTTTTTCAGTCTCACTTTTACATCTTTGACTTCTGTTTCTTGCTGCCCTGCATGGTGCCGAGATGAAAAGCTGCCCTGAACAAGGGAAGAACCCGATCGTCTGATCAAGGGGCAATGCTCATTTTTCTCTACAGTTACAACTGCTGTTTGCAACTCGGCTGCAAGGAGTCGGACTCCACGCCGCCTCCTGTCTCTAGAAGGCACTGTACAAACGTGTCACAGTTACCTTCCTCACTGGAATGAAACCTTTACTTTAGCAAGACAGGTGGATTCCCACCCTGGTTTCCATTACCTTTAGCGTTAGAAGCATAGCGAGGAATTTTGCTTTGTCTCCGACCAACATTGCATTGCTGATGATGGGAACCGCTTCTTTTACGGCATCCTCGATTGGAACGGGAGGAACGTTCTCACCTCCTGCAGTGATGATGAGCTCTGGAAAACAGTCACATCTTGATTAACGCTTAGAGATTTTCCCTCTTCCTTCACAGTCTGAAATGACTTTATAGCTCCTTTGCATCTCCCGGATCAAATACTGGGTCTGTATCCCAACATCGGGAGAAGGCAGCAAACCAGGACTCCAGTCAGGCTCGGGGAGATGAGACTGGGGCGTGCATGCAGAGAGCGCTGCAGAAGCTGCTGTGATGCTCCAGGGACGTTTGCCGTTGCATACGAGCTGTGCATACCAGCACCGCAGCACCCTGCTGGTCACCCTAGGCTCCAAGGCGTGTCAGCTGGGACCCAAGTTGTTCAGAAACTTAAGTAAAAAGATTTACCGAGGCAAAGCAGTTTCTGGAGTTACGTGGCGCAGTACAGAGCAGAGCCCGCCTGCATTGGCTGTCTTTTAGGATTTCTTAAAGCAGCCCCTTTGCGTGACCATTTCTCTCATTTTGATGACTGAAAAACCTTGCACGAAACTGGATTTGTTTGGGGTTGGTCAAGGCCAAGACCTGTTGGAGCGGGTCCAGAGGAGGGCTACAAAAATGATCCGAGGGCTGGAGCCCCTCTCCTATGAGGACAGGCTGAGAGAGTTGGGCTTGTTCAGTCTGGAGAAAAGAAGGCTGTGGGGAGACCTGATTGCGGCCTTCCAGTACCTAAAGGGGGCCTATAGGAAAGATGGGGAACGTCTTTTTAGTAGGGCCAGCTGTGTTAGGACAAGGGGAAATGGTTTTAAACTAGAACAGGGTAGGTTCAGGCTAGAGGTAAGGAAGAAATTTTTTACAATGAGAGTGGTAAAACACTGGAACAGGTTGCCCAGAGAGGTAGTGGAGGCCCCATCCCTGGAAACATTCAAGGCCAGGTTGGATGGGGCTCTGAGCAATCTGATCTAGTTAGCAGTGTCCCTGCTCACTGCAGGGGGGTTGGACTAGATGACCACTAGTGGTCCCTTCCAACCCTAAACATTCTATGATTCTATGATTCTAAGGCGGTGGCCCAAGAACTGCTTTGCTGCCAGCCATTTTCACAGCCACATTAAGCTATTGTTTTCTTTTAGAGATTAACTAGCCGAGCTAGCCAAAACCAGAGGGACCTGGACAGGTCTGGCACCAGAAACCAAGCCGACAGAGCATTAACTACTGCTTGTGAGACCAGAGGATTTCTTCCTTACTCCGCAAACCCCCAGTGGTTTCGGAGGTCATCCCTCTCCTCCCGTCCCACACTGTGTCCCGTGCCCAGTGGCAGGACACACCACAGCCATATTCATGCTAAAAACTTCAGAAGGAGAAGTATTTAAATTTTTCTGTGCAAGCCACAAGCACGTAACTAGCAGGGGCTGAACGCATCGTATCCTAGTACCACGTAACCTCGAGACGACAAAGCGAGGGGATGCTCACCTTTAATTCTGCCGGTGATGTAGAGGAATCCGTCTTTATCATGCTTGCCAAGGTCACCCGAGTGCAGCCAGCCGTCTTCATCAATCGCCTCTTTGGTTTTCTCTTCCATGTTCAAATAGCCCATGAAGATGTGCCTTCCCGAGAAGCAGATCTCCCCGTTGCCATCTCCATCTGGCTTATGAATCAGTGTTCGGCAGCCGGTGACTTCCTTCCCACAGCTTAAAGAGAACACAAACCCAAACCCATAGCATTAGTTTGTTGTTTTGTTTTTGTTTTTTTTTTAATTCAGTAGCTGAGCAGGGTGAGATTAGAGCAGTACCCTCGCAAGCTGAAGTGTTTGAACAAAGCCGGGCAGCTTTTTCTTACAACTGCTTCAGCAAGGACCTTAGAAACTTCAAAGGCATCTCCTTACATAAGGGGAACTACAGGAAAAGCTGTTGCTGCAGAGAGCTCGGTGCTCACACACCTGGTGTTTTCCACTCATTGTTCTCCAACACCTGAGCTTGGAATTAGAAGATTTATGTCCTTGGCAGCAAACTTTTACCAATGGTGGCATCTACTCTGCAGAGTGAACCCACAGGGACTGACCAAGCCACTCAAAACAGCAGCACAGTCTTACTCCGGTTATTCATTCGACATTAAAGGGAACTGTAGGCTAGAGTTCCCAATTCTTCCCTCTGCCCATCAATCCCTTGCTTCCTCCTCAGTTCCCAGAGAATCCAGGTCAAGTCAAATCTAAGTAGCACTGCTCTTGCCCTTGGCAGATCTCTTCATCTGCAAGATCCGGCCAAAGGAACGGGCTCCCTAGCGACTCTTTACTGGCAGCAAGACTCAGGATGAGCTGCCTCGGGCGAGCTGGGCATGCAAGATGCAGGAGAAACCTTAGAGCAACTCTCCCTCCCAGCCAGTGGTGCTCTGCTCACAGGAAGATGCTTACCTGGTAAGCTTGAATGCATGAGGTAGAGAGATCGTGTGAGGCCCAGAGCTCTCGCTCATGCCGTACAGCTCAAACACAGGAATGTTCAGACTTAAAAAAAATTCCAGCGTCTCTCTGGTAATGGGAGCAGCCCCCGTGTAGCACTTTGTGCACCGGTCCAGCCCGATGGCCTTTCGCACTTTCTTGTACACCAAGTGCCTGGCTAAGCGGAAGTTCACCGGGACGTCAGAATACCTGTAGGAGAAAAAGGGTTCCAAGATCTCGGTCACCAAGTAGAACTTCTCGCCCTTCCTCCTTTCATATTCCTCCTATTTTAGTTTATTCAGTAAAAAAAAAAAAAAAAAAAAAATATATATTTCCCCCTCCAGCCCTTGCTGCTCACCCTCTGGTCCAAGCGCTACCTTTGGCTCTCACTGTCCATTAAGTCTGGCCCGTTACATGGGATGTCATTCCTGACCTGACAGTAAAGTTCTCCTAATATTTATAACATCCCTTAGGTGCAGCTCATAATTACCCATTCATCCGCTTCAGGTTGGTTTGCAACCCAACTCCCTTGGCCCACGATGCCACTTTTCTTCTGAGTGCTGACGATTTTGCGCCTATGGATTTCATTTTTTCTTCCATTTTTTCCCAGACACGAGGAACTCCCAAAAAAGCCGTTGGCCTCACTTCCCGCAGGGTGTCTACCAAGGTGCCCTGAGCGAAGCAAAATTTAACACAGCTTTCAGAAGTGCTTCACTGTAGACTTCAGGTCAGCACTGGTCATGGGTCAAAGCTTAGGACTCTGCCATTGGTTTTGAGGAATTGCTCAAGGAGTTGCCACCAAGAGAAAGGAACCCCAGGAGCATTCAGGTGGCACAGTGGTTTTGAGAAGACAGCAAGGGTCAATGCTTTCAGTGCCAGCGCCGACCCAGTGCCGAGAATAGAGTTGTTCTCTTATCAGGACACAGATTTAACAGCATTTTGCAATGTGGACAGAGCAAATACAAAGCTGTTGCTCAACCAAGCTGTTGGGGTGGAAAACTGGTGTCAGGTGAGACACCAAGAAGCTCCCAGTTGTGAAGTGCTTGGTCAGCTCATCCTGGCTTGCAATGCAGAGTCAAAAGGCAAAGGTCAGAGCAGCTATATTTGTCAAACCAACAGACCCTTAAACAGGAGCAGTCGGTCACTACACAAATAAACCCAGCTAGCGTGGCTTTCAGAGTCACGAGGTACGTCAGCCACGTTCGTCTCAAAGCACCCACCCCAGCTGCAGGCAGGGGGATGGGTGCAGGATTTTTATTCTCTCATGTTTTTACCTTTAAGGCATCTGGTTGAGCAAAGAAAACTTGGACACCGAACGTCATTGCCGACCAAATATCTGACATCTGTGCAGCAATGTGGCTGAGGGGCAGATAGCTGACCACCCGCTCCTGCTTTTCGTTAGCATCCGTCAGCATTATGAAACGCCCGGCCGCCGATGCCGTCCACGTCAACTGTAACAAGAACCACAAAGGGTAGGAAGCGACGGATCTTCCGAGCAGGCACAACGCAGAACACGCGGCTCACGAAACAATCGGGTGTTGTTTTCAGCTGATCCCTACCCTCCCTCAGCACCCACCTAAGGTCGCAGAATGGGCATTTATACAAATCCATACTTACGTTGTCGTGACTGAGCATTACTCCCTTTGGCTGTCCCGTTGTCCCCGAGGTATATATTAGTGTGCAGCACTGGTTAGGCTTCTGCGACTCGATGATTTCATGGAGCTGAGTATCTGGGATGTCTTTGCCAAGGTCCATGAACTCACTCCACTGTACGTACAAGAGAACAGCTCGATCACTTTGTAGGCTATCGCTCACATGTGAAATTAAAGCCTTTGCTACACATGAAGAGAAGGAAACTGTTTGTTTCCCATGTCCAAACCCTCTGGCAGAATCTGGGAGAGGTTGTAAATATGCACTGTCAGCCCCACAATGTTTTCTGGCTGCCACAAGAGGCATGGCAAGAAGGGGAAAAGGAGACGGATCCACGCTGAGGGAGCTTACTAGTTCTGTAGCAACCCTGGTGTTCACTGGGAACACCGAGCTGGAGCAACCGTGGGACCCGAGGCTGCCTGGCAGAGGTCAGTATGCTAACACCCTCCCTTACAACATGGATTATCGAGGTTTGAACAACAGTAGACAGCTACTGCTCCAGCGAGGCCAGCAATCCCTCCCTAAAACCAACATGAGCTCACATGACGACAGTGGAAGCTCACGTGGAAGGTGACGGCTGCTTGCAAGCCATCAGCTAACCACAGCTGGTATTTACAAGCCATGAAGATGCCCAGTACTTACAGAGTACAGATTTGGTCTCTTCTCTTTTAGCTCTTCCCCGTACTGGATAATAGCTTTCAGATGAGGTAGTTTATGCTGAATCTGGGTTAAGAAGGGAGATTCGTGAGAAGGAGCAAATCCTGCCTGTCCCTTTTAAGCCAAAGTAACCCACCACTTCACATGCTGCTTGCCATTTTAAGGAACACTAAGAGAATCTCATCTCTGTTACTGAAAGAGAACAGGGAAGCTTCACTCGAGACAGAAATCATTTGGCCCGGGATGTTGCCGGACAACTGAGGGGATGCTCAACTGTTCATTTTGGCTTCTCATATTTTAAGCTCGAGGCTTCGCTAAGCTGTGGAACCACCATTTAACCTCTCGTGAGATTCAGTGCTAGTGACTGCTCATCTGGCTCCAACAGGGAGCACACCACGTCGGCTCCATCAGTGCACCTCTGCTTTCAGACCCAGCATTTCCCTCAGGCATTATTGTGTGACAAAAGACTGCACACCAGGCCACAAATCTGCTTTTCGGACAACATTACCCTCCCAGAGCATCCACCCTCCCACATCTGTCAATAGGACGCTGTAGCCCCACACCATTAAAAAAAATATATATATATTTACTTCTAAGATTTTCTGCAGCTGTTTCTGGTTTTCTACAACCAGAATGTTCGCACTACAGTTCTCTGCTACATAATGACAGGCCTCGGGAGAGTTTGTAGTGTAGATACCAACAGCAAGTCCCCTACGAAAGAAAGGGAAAAAAAAAAAAAAAAAGAAAAAAAGCCAAACATAGAATTAGAGGATAAGCAGAGTTGCTGGCAAAATTCAGACCATTTCAAACTTCAACAGGGGAAAAAAAATTAGGAAGAATATCTCATAAAACAACAAGAAGCAGAGGGCTTAAATTCCAAGAGCAAAGGCTCTGTTCTGGGGCATGGGAAATGTCAGAATGGTGCAAGGGACCAAAATGTCTCAGGTGGACGGCGGCTATCAAAATCCAGTGCTGTGATTCTCTGGCATTTCCCATCATGTTTTTAATCACCGTGCAAGTACGTGTGCTTCTGGATTAACCTACTGTTCATCTTATTTTGAGAGAAGCACCTGGCTAAAAAAAAAAGATATAATTTTTGTCTCATTAATTCATAATGAAGTAAAGAGAGAGTCTGGATTCTAGCTATCTTTGACAAATTCAAATATAAGTAGTTGGGTTTGTTCTTGGGTTTTTGTGCTTTGTTTTGCTGTGTTTTTTTTTTTTAAATCAAAACCTGCTTCTCATGTGAATACTGAAATTGCTATCTGAATGCAGAAGCAAAATGCACATCAAGAGACAACACTCATTCTTACCCTGCAAGGATAGCTCCAATGTCGGCAATAAACCACTCTGCAGAATTAAATCCCAAGATGCACACGCCATGGAAACGCTCTAGTCCCAGCTGTAAACAAGGGGAGATTTCAGCAACCTTGGTTTATTTCCTTTGAAGAATGCTCAGAGTTAATGTACAGATCTCGATCTCTGCTGCGAGCACAACGTCAAGGGAAAAGCTCACGCTATTATAGATGGTAATTCACACCGAGAACCTTCCCAAGACCTAACAGAACCAGTTAAGTTCAGACACTGTCCCCCTTTATCAGCAGGCAGGAAAAAAAGGATTTCCTTCGGCCTGCAGTCCGTATGACTGATGCTAATGGTATTGTACGACTGCGGTCCAGGTAGTTTGCAGCCCAGGTAGTCAGCAGTTCCCTCTGGGCTGGGAATGAGAAGGTAAGAGGTTAAGTTAGACAACACCTCCTGAGACATTTAGTCCTTTAGTCCAGGTCAGATGTATCAGGTATCAATAATGACAAGAGCATTGAGCCCCAATGACAGCAGTGCTTTGCTATGAAATTCCAGCTGTTCAAGTCCCAGCCTTTAAGTGTCCTTCAGCCATTCTCTGGTTTTGTCCCAGACTCGAGCATGTACCTCATCTAGTTAACGGCGTCCCTGCTCGCTGCAGGGGACTTGGACTAGATGACCTCTAAAGGTCCCTTCCAACCCAAAACATTCTATGATTGTCTGTAGACTGGAGGATCCCACCACAGGAGTAAAACCAGAGCGGCCTTAACTTCAAGAAATAAGACTTCATAATGACAACAGTAAGTACATGTAATGTTGCTTTCTCCGAGTGTCTTAACTCCCGACAGTACAGGCAAAGGCTCAGCCAGTTTGGACACTGAAGCCTGACTCATAAGCATCCCTTTGAGCGGCTTCTTAGGAAGATTAAAATTTCCATGCCTCACAGGGGGTGTTGTCCAGGTTTGACATACACCACAAACACCTCTCTTGAAACGTTTCCTTACACACTTTTTCTTAGTTGAATGTGGAAGCAACTTGCAAGAAATTCAAACAAAACCACTGTGGTAATTACCAAGCTGTTCATGGCATGTTCAGGTATTTCCCTGGCACTTTAGCACTCGCTCAGAGAATCTGTAGGTTTAAGATACAGTTGACCACAGGCATTTGCAAACTGACTGAATGGGAAGGAGGAGCAGAATTCATCCAAAGCTTACCTTCAGAAAGCTTTTTGCTGCTTTCCAGCACTCATCATAGTACATCTTATATGTTAGTTTTATCCACTGGCCGCCCTTCTTGGATGCAAGGGCATAATAATCACCGTATTTACTAGCAGCTTCCTGGAATAGCTCATGAACGGTCTTTGGTGCCTCACTGCCTATGCCCTGCTCATCCATCCTCAGTCTGACCTCTCCATCTCGCTGTGTTGTCCACACACTGGAGGCGGGAGGGGAAGAGGCTGGTTTGAAAGAAAAGCGTTCAGCATCTTATATTTAGAAATCGCTTGCTGCCGTAACAAAGACACAAATACAAGTATCAAGCAAATGAAAGCAATACTAATAACCCCCCCTCCCCCCTTTTCTGACCTTTTATTAGAATCACAGAATGACTGAGGTTGGCAAAGCCCTTTAAGCTCCCCCAGCCCAACCGCTCCCCTACCCCTGCCATCCCACCCCCAAACCCTGGCCCTCAGCACCGCCTCTGCCCGGCTGTTAAATCCCCCCAGGGCTGGGGACTCGACCCCTTCCCTGGGCAGCCCCTTCCAGCCCCTGACAGCCCCAAGGGGAAGGAATTGTTCCTATTGGCAAGTTTGCCATACAAGTCCCAGTATTTTAGACCAGACCTAATAGACGAAGCCTCTAAAAGCACTTTTTTGTTAAACATTTCCTATTTACACCCCCCTCTAACCTGCTTTGCTGCCCTAAAGCTCTTGCACTGGTAACGTGGCAGCTTCCTGCAACAGTCACATGCCCTGTGCTTTTTCTCTCTTTTTTTTTTTTTTTTAAGGACTGACAGCAGTGCATTATTACCTGATAGATAAGCATCAGGCAGTGGCATTACCTATTCTACTCCTTGAAGCACATCTGTGCTTTAAAGTCAAAGTTCAAGAGGCTTCTGGACAGACCATCCTGCAATTTGTGTTTCTTCTTCCATTCTTACGGCTTGATAAATTCCTCTCTCGTTTTAATCATGATTTTATGCAGACCACAGTAGCTAAAAAACCCTTTCCGCTTACCTTTGAAGCCGAGAGTGTCTTTCTGACATCCCTCTGTCTTAGTATCTTCAACTGTCTCGATGTTGTGGACCTCAGCAGTTCTGCAAGGCAAAAGCAATTAGCCCTGGAGAGGCTTTAGCTGCAGAATGCCTTAAGCATGCTTGCTCCATCACTTAATTACAGTAGCCCCTGGATGTCAAAGATCAGTGGTTCCTGATGTCCTGCAGGTGACTTTATGTTTCTAGCCTGCATGGCAACGAAACAGGTCCCTCTCAGAGTGTGCAAGCTGTGCCTGCACTGCCTTTAAACACAGGTACGTTGTCCAAATTGCAGCTATCATTTCAGATAAGCCGCAGAAGAATCCATAAATATGTCACCCAGAAAACAGCGATAATTTAATACCACTGGTCCGCTCCAGGTGCCTGAAACAAAGAGACTACAGCGGTGGGGAGGAGGGGGGCAGGAAGGGGCGCGGGGGTCTGGTGCTTATCTCCTGTCTGCAACACGTGAGCCTAACGATGGGGAGGCCCCAGGGGCCTCGCTCCCATGCAATACAGAGATCCTGAGCTGGTCACGCCATGGGGAAACCCAGAGCTTTCCTGCAGAAGGCCAGGCCAGCTGAAGAGCAGGAAATTGCTTTAACAGGAAATCTTGTTCTTAGGTGTTCCTGATAAAAGTTATCATGTCGGGCTCGCACCAGATGTTTGTGAAGAAATGGCAACAGGCACATGCCCCATCTGCTTCAGCCACGCTCCTCCCCAGGAGCTTGTCCCACCGTGCCAGCTGGAAGTTGCCCCTTTTCTTTTCATCCTTGCAAGATCTGGTGAGTTGCCACCTGCCCGCGCTCGGTGTTCTTCCTCCATCCCTTTCCAGGACGGACTTTCTCACAGCCAGAAGTGGTGAGGATAAGCAATAACCAAGTCACAAGTCCCCCTTCAGACCACAGGTTGGAAACCAGACCCTGTGAGATTTGGTATTCGAGTCCCTGTGCTCGCTGGGACTCGGATTCCCTCATCCTTGTAGGGAGCACTGCAAGGACATCCCACCCTCCAACCTACAGGCAGATGACACTTGTTCCCCTACCCTGGGCAATACCATCAGCAGAGCGCTACGGTCCAGGTTTTAGTCGACCCAAGATTATATTCCAGAGAACCAAAATTCCCATCTTGCCTTGCCAAACAGCCCTCCCTGGGCCCTTCACTCCAGGCCATCACGAAGGTGTTCGTTTCTTCATGCTGGTGCTAGGTGTTTCCCCATAGCAGTGTTTGGTGCAAGGTTCCTCTTTAGCACCCACCCCTGGGTCTTCTAGAAGGGCTGCAGGCCCCTGACATCACAACAGCCCCAACCCTCTGCAGGGGCAGCTCTGGGGCAAAAAAGACGCCCCAACATCCCTGCCCGTCACGATCAGACCACACCTGCACACAGGCAGGAGCTCCCCTGGTCCCATGCAAACTCCTCAGCCAAATCCAGGCAGGACTCCCACCCAGTCCCACATTTTCTTCCCTTTCTACCAGACTGAAGAGAAGACGGCAGCACAAGGCACTGCGTGGATTTCAGCCTAAGGGATAAATCGCTTCTGGTTTATGTTTGCTCTCAGTTTCTAGGGGACAGTCAACTATTACTGCTTTGGGCGTACGGTAAGGTTTAAGGCACAGAGGAGATTTGGCTGCTCCAAAAGCAGAACTGCTTCTCCTAACCTGCAAGCCAGAAACCAGAGGGAAGTAAATAATATTATTTTTTCTTTTACTTCCCGCAAAGTGATTACAAGATGTTTCCTATTACACATTTCCTCCTCATTATTGAGATCATTTTTTTCAGCACAAATGAATCCTCCGTTGCAACAGTTCTGCACCGTTTCTCCACCAGCTTTTACGATCAAAGCATGCAAATGACCCAATAATATAAGCAAAAAAGCCCCAGCTATTTCCCTTACAGTGAATCATCTTTTTCTCCCCCTTCCTACATGTAATTCAAATGCAGCCTGAAAAAAAGAGTTGGTAAAGAGTTTTTTGTCAGCTACATCCCATCACCTGGTGGGGAGATGTAGACCCTTAAGGACTAATCTGCGCTTTAGTAAGATGCTGCTTACATTTACAGACGGACTAAGAGGAGTTTGATAAGAAGCACACAAAGGATCCCCTCCTTGCTTGGTGTTCTAAGTATTTGATGGGTGCCCTCCCAATTACCCGGAATTAACGATTACGCCAAGTTCCTTTATAAGAGGTGATCTTTCCACCTATGCTGATTATTCTACCCTTCCCGTGCTTTAAGTTTCTATTAAATGCATGCTGCTTCAGGCTGGGTACTCTGCGTGGTAGCGATGTGCAGCAAATTTAACTCTGTTCCTCTTCATGTGAGGAGGGGAGATTGTAGCTTCAGCTTTTGGATTTGGGAAGTTGTTAATGAATGTTTGAAATTTCTTCCCCCCAAAAAAATCTTAATCTGCGTAAATGTGCTAGAATGCAAACTGCATGCTGTGTGCACGGGTCACCACAGAGAAAATAAAGCCTTAAACTACACAAACCTAGTTGCAGTGTTGAGCCGTACATCATCCAGGGACACCTCGAAGCTCCCTTGAGGATCTGAATCAAAATAAGCCACGGGGACCGGTTCCGCGAGTGCCATACGTGCATCTGACTCACACAGCATTGTCCCTGCAAAAACAGGTTTCAAGAATTAGAACACAATCAAGCGCTACGGTGAAATCAGACGCCTCTGATGCAGTGATCTGACCAAGGCAATCCCGAAGCAGGCATGACTCGAGACCGCTGTATCTACGTGAAACACGGGGAAATTCTAACAGCAGAGGCAGCGCACGCCGCATCGTGCTCGCTTCATTCGGGAAACCTGATCGGCGGTAGAGGATACGTCCGTTCCCACATCCAAAAACAAGCATGACCATTCCCGCTCTGAAAGAGCACCCCGAGCCCAACCTTTTACATTTTAC